TACGATGGTCCTCGTCGTCAATGGTCTGCACAGCCAGATTCTCGCACACCTCCCAAAGCCAACGAGAACAGTGTTTGATATGGTTGCGTTTTCGGCAGTTGTAACATTTAGAATGCGATGCTGCAGACCTGCGGCGTAGGGATGGACTGGGCTCGCTTGCGTTTCAGCCTCTGCCTGAGATATGAAATCGGTCGCTCGATATAGACAAGTGCCAAGTATAAATCTGCGGGGACTTAATGTGGTCAGGTTGCTCCATAAGCGCAATCTGTTCATCGAGCTCATTCAGTTCATCCATCGATGTCACGGCATCAGGTTGCTCCTGCAACGACGGCTGGGGACGATCGAGGCTTCTGGAAGTATTCAAGTTGGATGCATGCATGCATGCAGTCCTTTGAACCAGTAGCAGGGTGCTTCTGAGACTCTTCGAGGCTTGGCGGCTCCGGGTTCCGCAGTCCGTCACTGGTTGAAGGCTTCGCGTCGGGTCCCTCACAGGTTGAAGGCTTCGCATCAGGTCCCTTGGTTGAAGGCTCCGCATCAGGTCCCTTGGTTGAAGGCTCCGCATCAGGTCCCTTGGTTGAAGGCTCCGCATCAGGTCCCTCACAGGTTGAAGGCTCCGCATCAGGCCCCTCACAGGTTGAAGGCTTCGCATCAGGTCCCTCACAGGTTGAAGGCTTGGCAAGAATCTTTTCTGGGTCGGGCAGGGGCTTCCACGAGGCCTTGACTTCGGGGCTAGAAAGCAAGGACTGGGGCCCGGAATCTTGGGATAAAGCCTTTGTGATCCTGGGCTCAGACCAAGCAGCAGCATCCTCCATAACAAGAGTATCTTGCATCGAAGGGTCCAGGGCTGCGGCCCCAGGCACAACGGTATCCTCAGCAGCTTGCGCTGCCTCCTCCTCTTCCTCATCCTCTAGGGGTTCCGCCTTGATTTCTTCCTTCACTCGATGGTGTGGAGGGCGATTGTCGGGGAGGGGCGGGGCGATAACCGGCTCTGCGTCGATGGCCGGATCATTCTCGGCCATCTCTTCTTCCCCCTGCACAAGATCTCCGAACCCCAATCCATAATGGAATCTTCAAGCAACCGGGTCCTTCTAGTTACCGCGAACCCCAGACACGGATCGTATTGTTGAAGCATGATGAGACTAACCTATGTTGTCCGATCATTCACGAAATACAATTCCCCTATAGTGACTATAGAGAACCCTATCTGACCTATCTAAATTACTCGAAAATTATAAACCTGTAAATTTATACAAGCTTCTATAAGAATTCATTATTGAGCCTCCTCGCCATCACCGGCCTCTTCGTTGCCAGGGTTCCAAGCTACGATCAGAACCTCCATCACGCTCGCCACAGCCGGATCCTCGTTGAAGCTGACAGCTGGAGTCTTAACAAACATGGTATCATTTGCAGACACAATCCGTGCTCTAGACTGCATTAGATAGTGCACATAGTGCTGCCACAAAGATTCACGGAAGTTGCTCTGCTGGTTCATGCGACGAATCGCGTAGCTCAGCAGCTTCTTTAGGCCCCATGCTTCCGCATGCATTTGCATCTTCCCAGGCATGCCTGCCTTGCCTTCGCCGGCATCCAAGGCCATCTGGTTCCAGAAGTATTTCACCTCACGGATCACAGCAGGAATCTTTAGGAATGAGGTTGGGAAGTTTACCGTTTCCGATCACTGTTGTATCCCTGCCACACCCCAAACCCACCATGCACCTGCTTGTGAATGGATTTCAAAGGCGCCGTCTTGGCTTGGCCCTCGAATGCGAAATCTCGCACCCAAGCCCGGGCAAGGTGACGGATCACTGCAGCGTTCAGACTGATCGCCCTCCTAAGTAGCGCAGCACACTTACGACTGGAATAATCGAGATATCTTTCGGTAGTTTACATGACTGCATGAACTCCATGATTGATGCAAGGCTCAGGCTGGGGATTCCAACACTGTTTGGTTTGCACCAGCGAAGCAGTTGTTTGGTCTCCCGGGCCCGTCTGCGCACACTGTGATCTTCCTCCCAGTCCACTGCGAGGCCATCGAGTATCCCAGCATGCTGAGCCGCCATGCTCAAGGTCCGCTTGTGAGAGGGCCCGATCGATACTTGAGATAAATTTTGGGGATGAAACTGTATTTTGGTCGTAGAGATCATGCATGCTATGAAGCAATCTGAAACGAGCGATCGACCCTGTGGGATGTAAGGGTCCAGCCATGAAGCCACCCTGTCACAGAGTACCTGCGCGGGGGGTTAACGGAAGCTGATTCAGCTGGTGTCAAGTTGAAGCAACACATCGCTATGCATTTTCACAACTTTTGACAGCCAGCAACAGCAGGTGCCCTCGACAGTCCGGTCTGCTGCTTCTACAAGTAAATGCATCATATATCCATCCCGGCACAGTTCTTAAGCTGCGTCTGTGTGGTGGTGCATGCCAGGCATCGACGATTCTGAGCTGGATCCGCTGGTGTCATAGCCTCCTGGGAGATATGGGTGGATGTTAGGGCCAAGCTTAGGTTTTGGGGACCATAGAATTCTCACTCACTGGCTTCCCATGCGGTGCCTCCGGTGCGATACTTTTTCACGAAGTGGTGGACGGCTCCATGATTATCATAGTTCTCCAGAATCGTGTTGAAGACTTCGGTTGAAATCTTTGGAACAGTAGCCTCGAAGAGAATATAAACAGATTTGATATAAGCTTAAGTAACATACTGCGCACAAGTTCATCTAGATAAGAATCCTGGCCTGGCCATAGAGGAGCTTCAGCACATCTCTCCAGAAAGGGTTGCCAAACTCGCCCAATCCTGCGATAGACACTATACATGGTTATACGAAATTGTGGTCTATCGTTGCTACAAGCTATCGATCGGTCCTCGTGCTTCGGCTTGCTGGAGGGATGCAGGATTGGATGCCAAGAACTCATCCATAGCTAACAAGGCTACGTAGGAAAGTGCTGGCAGGGGCACAACTGGTCGATCCAAACAGCTGTTTTAGTTGTAGCAATTGACATGACCCAAGCAGACAATAGGGAAGACAGTGCAATGGGGGCACCGCAGATCTTCTTGAAGGAACCATCAAGCAGCCGACCTGAAAAATGCAGGGGTGATGGATGCTGGTTTAGGCCTTCGAGCTGCTTTAATAATGAAGGCTGGGGCCTGGGCAAACCCATAGCACATCTGACGACCAGGGTCGTCTTTCTTGAGCCCATGTGGGCTTTGGGGGGCGCATCGTGTTTGTTGGCCCCTGCATCTGCTCATCTTACTCAAAACCCAAGAAACGCCTCTATGAATAAAAAAACGCCTGGGAGTTCGATAATTAGTTTTTTTACTGAAGACCTATTTTTTCAGGGCTAAAAGGAACTCCAGGTAGGGTTTAGGGTTTTGATGTTGCTATAAGTTTTTGTGACCTGCTCTTGCGACTATGAAAAGTCCATAGAATTCCGTAGGCTTCAACATACCGATTTAGTATACTCTGCGTATTTAACCATTGTATAACACCCCTACCAAAACACCGCGCTACAACTTATAGACCCCCTGGGCCATGAAATCCTACACCCCAAAGTATCTAGCAACTCATCATACAGATATCTATGCATCTCATACAGCGCTGAAGCCCAAAACCCAACCAGCCCTCGATGTAGACCCTGTTGCAGCTAGAGGGCTTGCCTTAATAATTAGAATAGGGTTTGGGGTATATTCTATTATACTTATTTTAAGGACCTTCCAGAATCCTGTTCTAATTATTAAGGCTCCTACATCAATAGGGTTTTGTGCGCTTTTAGACGGCTTTGGGTGTTTGCGCGGTTTAAGGACTGAGTGTCTGCTTGAAGGGTCAGGGGACGTACTTCGTGGTACTTCGAAGGATACCTGGACCCTACAGAACCTACCTTTTTAGGGCTTTTATTCGGTTCTTTAGGGTCTAGGTAAGTGTTGTCCGCTACTTGGAAATGCGACCCATCAAGCCACTCGATCCTTCAAGTAGGGTCTGTCTGCTAGCCAACTAACGCTTCCCTGCTCCCAAGCCTGTTCACGTAGCTCTTCGGGTCACAGCGATGGTGGCAGCAGGTGGCGATGCAAACGCCGAAACACGGCCCTTGGCAAGAGGAGACTGTCTCGGGTTTAGGATTGTTGAGCGATTGTTGTTTGGGGGTGAGTAAGAGCCACTTCTAAAACAGAACGGGCTGGCAGTCAAAGCTGAGAGAAGCAAGCCCTGAAGTCGTACACAACTATACACCACAGTCATATGAACAGTAGAGTTTTTGTGCAATCAGGCAAGCGGTCGAAAAATCGTTGAGCTCGGTGGTTCGTTGCCAGCAGCGGCTGGGTGTCGGGTGACATGACCTTGACTAGAGCTAGTTGCCAGTATATAATATAAACCTACTTAGAATGCGACCTACCGAGTCCTCGATCATCGCATAAGATCTCCGCAAAGCTTGGGAAGCCTGAAAATCGAAGGCCACAAAGGATTCGCAAATCACTGAGAATGCCTGGAAATTTGGCCTTCAAAAGCCATGAACAGACTCTCGATCCACAAACCTGCGGGACCAAAGTAGCGAAACGCATAACATATCCCAGATCGACCACACAGAACTCGAACGACTGAACAATGGGGCCATTGGGGTGTTGGTTGTGGGGAGCACAGCCTGAAATCCCCAGAGCCAGGAAACCTGAGGACCTAGAACCCGTATAATGTAGGGGCCTGGATAAGTTTAGGGTTTAGGGTTTAGGGTTTAGGGTTTAGGGTTTAGGGTATACTATACTATACTTATAATAAGGAACCCCCATATAGCATGGTAAGCATTAAGGCCTTTAGGTATTGCTTTATAAACACCCATTCAAGCTCTGCGCAGTCAGTACCTCATATACACCCTGAAGGATACCCTAAGGGTCCATGTACCCAAAATAGTATATACTTTGACCCCAAAGTACTCAGATAGGGACTACCTTAAGGCCAAAACAAAGTATATACTATTTGGGTACATGGACCCTTAGGGGATAGATCATGGCAAGATGCCGGGTTTGAGAGGCTGCCTTTGCGATTCCTGCGCGACTGGCTGGCCGGGGCTGAAATGGAGTTGGTCGGGTGCGGATGCCTTTACGTCTCCACTCTTCGGTTATATCGTCAACCTCAACGTAGTAAACCTCCTTAAGCTGCGGAGCGAACGTCTTCCGAGCCGGAAACTTGGGACTGCAAGGTCAAACCTGAAACTCCAAACCGGTAGTTCTCTACAGTAGGGTCCCTTTTGGGGTCCTTTCTCGAAGGGTGCCGTACTATTTCGGGGGGACCGAAAAGGGGCCGTCATTTCGAGAACTATCCAAGGTCTTCGAAATAGAGCCAGCTTTGGTGTCCTAACTAGGGATTGAAGCAAACTTGTCGTTGGTACGGGGTCTTTGTACTCCGAATAGGGTTCAGGTAATCATCGGAGCAATTTGTTGCATTCGGGACTTTCAGGAAAAACACTGCTGCTAGTTTTTCGATGCCTATTAAACCCGACGGCTCCTCAACTATCAACTGCTCAATTTGTTTATGTGCCCTCCAACACCATAGCAATCGGTCTTCATGGCCCTGCACTTCCATGCGACCAGAACCCGGCCTCATGCAAATACGAGGTAACAGCCATAAACCCTAAACCCTAAACCCTAAACCCTAAACCTCAACTGATACTACAAGGCCTCTTTTCACCAAAGCTCGGAACCAGCCCTCATTCAACCATGCGGCCACTGCGTGGTTTCGTCCTTGAGAGATCGAAGAGCGATGTCTGTGGCGCCACCACCTCTGGTCTGCCACTGGGAACATTCCAACATACTGCAACAAATCTGGCTGAGTACCACCCAAAGAGGTCCATTCTGTTTTCTATCTCTCTCCATTATATATATATATATACACATATAATATAGATAGAATATGGATGATTATATAACTATATGTATGCCGGTATGGTTAAAGGCTACCCACTCTACTAAAAGAAAATCATCTCCGAGGGGCAGAGGTGTTTGGCACAGGCGCCCAGACGAACGGGAGGCCAGGTACCGCTTGACTGGCATTTGGGGGTTCAGGGCTTAGGGGTTTAGGGCTTCAGGGTTTAGCGTTTGGGCTAAGGGCTAGCTACTAAATTGGTCTGAGGGCTTAGGAATCATGGCACTTGAACATTTGAGCTTGGGACTGCAAGTCTGAGGGTTTAGGATTCATGGCGCTTGGGTTTAGGAATAGGGGCTAAGGGTCTGAGGGTTAAGTTAAGGCATAATGGGTGTCCTCAACCCTAAAACCCAAGCCCCTGGGTTTAGGAACAATGGCATTTCGGTTTCGGACAAGGGTTTACTGTGAGACGATGGGCTACTTTAACGGATCCGTCAAGGGTATCAAGCAGTTTTAGGTTACGACTGGTTATAGCTATCACTGGACTGGCGATTACGTTCTTCGGGTTTCTGAAGTTAATGCAGGGGCCTTAATAATTAGAATAGAGATTTAAGGGTTCCTTTTTATATTTATGGGAGAACATACCCCAAACCCTATTCTAACTTTAAGGCGCCTATAGCAGGGTTTTTGGAATGGCTTGTAAGTGTAGGAGTACCATTCGCCTGTTTATTAAAGGAAACCACAGGTGGGGAGTTTAGGGTAAATAGGGCTTCTATAAGGTATATAGACCTTCTATACGGCTCCTATAACGGTAACTACCCACCTGAAAATGTCCTAGAGTTGAGGGCCCTAAACCCTAAACCGTTTAGGGCTATGGTTCGAGGCTTCTCCTCCGGGGCTCTGTTCTTATAGCAACGAGGCCGAGGACTCGAAAACCTTTCTTCAGAAGTGCAGCAGGGTTTAGGGTTTAGGGGTTTTGGGGGTTTAGGGTTTAGGGGTTTAGGGTTTAGGGCTTTACTTGGAGGTTCACGGGACTTAATAAGTACAGTTACAAGTACCTTGATTGGGCTGTAAGGAACTATAAGTATAGATACCGTATTGAAAACCCTAGTTACTAAGTCCCATGAAGCTTTAAGTAAGTAAGTCATAAACCATTCCCCTGAACCCTATGAAAGATCTCTCTGCATATTCAGGAATGCTCTTTAAGTAATGTTGAGTAACTGTTGGAGTATGTCTGGGATTGAAGATTGGTTTCGCCTAGGAAATTACGGGCCTCGACAGATATGACAGGGTTTTGGGATGTTTCGGTGTATGCTATACGACAGCAATGTAGGCACAGGGGTCAGATGTTCCCAATTTTGCCGACCTCTGTATTACCTATAGTCTCCATGGTCTTTTTGCGTTTACCTTATAAGATCCTAAATGCATGATGTGGTTAAGCCAAAAGAAGGAACTACCATGGAGACTATAGCTAGAGCCTGAGTTCCCGACTCCTGGTTGCTACCCTAAACCCTAAACCCTAAACCCTAAACCCTAAACCCTAAACCCTAAACCCTAAACCCCTTTCAAGTTTGCACCGTCGGCTGAGGCGCTCCGAGCTGGAACCCGAGGTCCCAAAACCCTAATCTCAAACCCTTCCCTAACCTTAAACCCTAAACCTAAACCCAAAACCCCAAAGCCCCAAAAGCCTAAACCCTATAACCCTTTAAACCCCAAAGCCCTAAACCTAAACCCAGAACCCCAAAGCCCCAAAAGCTTCCGAACCGCAGGTGGTTGAGTTTTCGATTCTAAGCCGGGGAAGCTGGGATGTGACGACTCGCGTGATGGATTGAGACTTGAATTCGAGGTTGTAGGGTTGGTCTCGAGTCTCGAGTAGGGCCGAGTAGAGCTTACGCTGGCTTGGTTCCTGGGAAAATAGGCTTTAGGCTTTAGGGTCCATCTTGCTTTGTCGGAAGGCATGCTCACCAGGGCAAATGTGAAAAAGGCCGCTGGGCAAAAGTCGGAAAGTGAGCTGTCGGAAAAGATGACCATGCAGTCTCCCTGGGGTGTTCTATGAAGGCTTGAAGATCAATCAGGTTCGGCGGGTTCGGTGTATCTTAATACTTTCGGCTTGTATGCCACGGGTTTGCTTTGCCAGCTCGTACAAGGCTTTGCAAACCGGGTTTAGGGTTTCGAGACTCGCAAAAAAAATGCGGCCCTATCGGCCTGGAACTCAGCAGCCGTCCGCCAGAGCTCCTTCAGTTTAGGGTTTGGGGTTTCGGGTCTAGGATTTAGGGTTTAGGATGTAGGGTTTAAGCACTGCCATGACATGAAAGCTTTGAGCCCAACCGTGGACTCTCAACATCTCTAAGCCAACATCCCGTCAGACCCGTCATGCTTAGGCCCGTTTCATTATCAGGAGCTCCACAGATCCTGCTCCGCAAGCTCAGCAAATGAGCTTTGGTGAAGACTCGGAAACTGCAAGAACGGTTCAGAGCTGTGCTCTGCCCCAAACTCCAAGCAGTTCAAACCCTATCCCTAGACCTATACTCTGCCCGAAGAGTTTTAGGGGGGCTTGTGGGATTTCCGGCCTTGTGACTCAGATGCTTGGACTTCAGGGCTTTAAGCCGTTGGGGCTTTGGGGATTATAGGGCTTCGGGGGGTCGGGGATTGGGATTCTAGGGTGCTGCAGGAGGTTTTGGGGTTTAGGGCTTTAGGGTTTTAGGGGGAAGGGTTTGAGGATTAAGGGTTTAGGGTTTTGGGGTTGTTTCACTCCTTCAAACTCGGGGCCATCGTGGACGATTCTCGCAAATAGCCCTCAAACCTAAACTCAACCCGAAACCCTACCACGAACCCGCCCCCTAAAATACCCTTTCACGCAGCCCTTATGGCTTAATGGAGGGTATATCGGGTATAATAGGGCTAGTTGGGGGGTCCAGGCAAACAGAAAACTAGACTCCACAAGCCCTATAAGCGCTGAACTAAACCCTGAACCCTGAACAAAACCCTAAACCTCACCAAAACGCGAAACTAAACCCTAAACCCCAAAACTAAACCCTAAAACTTAGACTTAACCCAAAACCCGAAACTAAATCCTAAACCCTGAACAAACCCTAAAACTTAAACCAAAACCCGAAACCAAACCCCCAAACCCCAAAAAATAAACCCCAAACTCGCCCGAAGCCTCCAGTCGCTCTGCAGGGCCCAGGCAGCCAGCTGCTCCGCTGAGCGACCTTCCACATCTCAAGACTTTAAGGGAAGTTTCAAAAGGTATAGGGTTTAGGGTTTAAGGGAAATTTCGAAGTATAGGGTTTAGGGGAAATGTCTCAAGACTTTAAAAACAGTTCAATAATTTAAATTTAGGGGTTTAGGGCCACGTAGGCTCTTAAAATTGCTACTTGACTATTCTACCCGCCAGGACTTCCAAACCCCGAAGAGCGCAATGAAAGCTTGATCCAGTGCAAAAACAGATCCGTGTTTGGGAGTTTCTACGCAATCAGGGAAGCCCGGGGAATCACACTACTAATGATGCAAGCCCTGTATCTCACCTACAGCCTTAGTATCCTAAAGTCTTGGAGTGTCTGAGCAAGCCAGTGGATATCCTGTGTTTCCCCGCCCTAGTCTAGGCATCGAAACCGCACACACGGAACACACGAAGCCCTAAACCCTAAGACCTAAACCCTATATACCCCAAACCCTAAACTAGCAGATCGAAACACTAAACGCGCTGCACACTCTGAACGATCCGAGGCCCTGGCAGCGCGTCGCTTCGAAAATCGGATGCACGGGGGAGCGAATCTGCCTCCTCGGGAGTTCAGAAGAAATGTTCGGGGTTCCATGTGTAAGCCGTAACAATCAACCCAAATCTCTAAAAGCCCTTTGAAAAACCTAAATGCTCGAAACACCCTCAAGCCATGCTCTACCAGGACCCCAAATAACTTACCTTGTGAAGGGCTTATATATGGACATATATAAGGAAAACATAATAGGGTACCCTAAGACGGAAGTATTTATAGGGTCTAGGCAAGCCCTAAGTCTCAAGAAAGCACGCTTCCACTTCCAAGTCCCAAGCCAATGCCGGACCAAGAAATCCAGCGAGGTCGAAATCGGCGATGTCCACGCGGAGGCGCAACACCTGAGCATTTCTTGTAGGCGCCTTGATAATTGGGTGTTGGGGTCCACTATAGTATGACTGGTAGGGGAGCTGTCAGGGGATGCTGTTGGTAATGCTTGCGACCTCAGCACTATAGCCATAAAGCGCTGAGGACTCGTATGTTAAGTCTGCTCAGGCTTCTGTGCCCAAAGACCAAAGACCATTCCAAAAACGGCTCTTGGGTTACAATATTTTGATCCTGAGGAGTGCAACTACATTTTTCAGTTCGAGGGTTCCAACCTGAGCCCTAAGCCCTAAACCCTAAACCCCAAACCGGGGCTACCAGGGGAAGCCTCTTCCCTGATCGTTCAGCTGGTGGTTTGCCCGTTGCAGGGTGAGAATGGAAGGCTTTTCCGAATAGAAGTTATAGGGTTTAAGAGTTTAGGGTTTTGGGGTTTAGGTTTTATTTAGGGTTTGGGAGTTTAGCGCTAGGGGTTTAGGAGGGTGTTTGCCCAAACCAAAGACCCAGTACACCTTCTCAGAAAGTGTAGTTCCTTCTTTCGGTGAACCCGTCTTAGGCACAAGCTCCTGTGAAACTAAATGTCTAGAACAAGGACAACGAACAACGGAAGTAGATTGATTGGCAACTGCACTCAGAAACCCCAGTGGTCCTGATGTGAGACACCGATATATAAAAAACCATTGCGAGATGTTTTCAATTTTTCTAGGAGCGTATGTAGCCAGCCCGTCTATTCAACGAGTAGACGTCCTAAACCAGCTCAGAGGAACTTAGGCTGCGGATTTCTTCCATGCCCTGAGAGCTCAACTTTGAAAATTCCTGGCAACCCTGAACATCCCTAACCTTAACCTACCAAAACCTACTTTTTTAGGGTCCCTACAGAATCCTTACTAGGGTTTATAGTAAGAGCCTACAAGAAAAGTAGGTTTTAGTAGGTTAAGGAAACCATTGATAACGGCCTAAGTCAATCTCCATCCCCTCACTCCAAGAGACTAGGCTCCAACACCGTCTTAAACCCTAAACCCTTAACCCTAAACCCCTAAACCCTAAACCCTGAACCCCTAAACCCTAAACCCTTAACAGAGACATTCACGTCGGCGCATGGCCTGCTCCTCACGCTTGTCGTGTTTGTTCTCGAACTTGTGCCTCCCAGCTTTGGGGTGTTATAAGGTGGTTCATGGAACTTAGTACTTTGGATTATAGTAACTATACTTCAAACTACTTCTAAACCCAATTAAGGTACTTATAACTGTTCTTCTTAAGTCCCATCAACCTCCAAGTAAGGCGTAGGGCTTAGGGTTTATAGGGTTTAACGGTTTCAGGGTTTAGGGTTGAGGGTTTCGGGCTTTGAGACTGCGCAGACCGGCTACAGAGCAAGCTACTGAAAGCTGTAGGAAGAGAATTGGGAATCAAAAACGGTTCTATATCGCTTTACAACTGTTTCTTGTTTTTTGTTTTTTTTTAAGGGGTCTTGGAAGGGTTTTGGGAGGTTGCAAGCCTCTAACCCCCAAGCTGGACGGGTGAGGCAAGACACCACCCATTACCCCCCAAATTCCCTGAAAACAAGCCGTGGCAGGCCCTTTTGCTGTGAGATGCATGCGCGCTGCATGATTCACTGGAGGACGCAACTCTGCTCAGAAGTTTGTCGAGGATTTCCGAGTCTACCTAAACCCTCGAAGCAGGTAAAATAATGGCCCGACACCTATAAAAGGCTGTTATTCTACATACTTTTGGGGTCCGAGTCTAAGGATCAGGGCACTTAGCAAAGCAGCTTGGGCTTGGCACTGGTGAGAGTAGGGCTAACTTAACTTTAATCTACCTATAGTCTCCATTGTAGTTCCTTTTTTGGGATACCTTATAGGATCCAAATTATAAAGTTGGTTAACAGAAAAAAAGGAACTACAATGGAGACTATAGGTAAGCCCCCTGCTGAACTAATAGCCGAGTCGCTAAGTCGTCGGATCATCTAAGCAGAACGGCAGTTACACCGTCACGCGGATCAGGCTCTGCTTGCAAAGCTAAGCACTAAACCTTCGAGACTCCTTCCTTAAGTTGCAGCTCCATGACTCTTGACAGCTTTATATACTTAAACCCTACACCCTAATCTCGCAAACTGCCAGCGAATTCTGAAGATAGAGACGTCTGCCGCTTTAGGGTACGAGCATCGGGAGTTCGTACAACTGTGTACGCTCGGAAATCCTGCTCGTGAGAGCCCAGTGCCCCTTACTTAGGATTGAAGCTTGAGGGCAAATGGCTTAGGGTTAAGGGCAATGCCGCAACTATAACTATATATATATATATACCTTCATACTAAGGCCTCTCTACTTCAGCAATCTTCCCTGTTTAAGGGGCACTGGGTTCTCTGGGTCGTGGATCACTGCTACCTGCTACGGGTGCGTGAGCATCACTTCTCGCAAGGCTCAGTCCTGCCGGCAGTGATGCAATCGGGAGGTTCCTCCACGCTTAACCCCGGAGCTCCAAAAAGCCCAAAGTAGGTACTTGTTGCAGACTTCAGACACCAAAGTAGGATCTATTCGTATACTTGGAGCCCTAGGGCAATTGACGCTTACAAAAAACAATGGCATGATGGTAGAAGTTCCAGAAAACCCTAAATCCTAAACCGTCTAACCGCCTCAGCGAAGCTGCATACGGAAGGCCACAGGGCAATCCCTTAAAGAGGATGCTGCTCCGTGGATGTTCTAGACCGGAATTCCATAGGTCTGGTTTAGAGCTTAGGCTGTGAGTGTGTGTGTGTGTGCGGGTTTAGGGTCTAGGGTTGAGGGTCTGGGTTTTAGGGCGGTGTATAGCGTTGAGGGTCTAGTGGGTTATGAAGGGGCAAGCTCCTATAAGATAAGGGCCTTAATATTTAGAATAGGGTTTTGGGGTATAGTATACTATAACTGTAATCAGGAACCCCCAAAATAATATACCCCGGAGCTCCAAAAAGCCCAAAGTAGGTACTAGTTACAGACTTTAGACACCAAAGTAGGTTCTATTTGTATACTTGGAGTTTTAGGGATAGGTAGTTGTTAAGGCCCCTATATTAGAATAGAATAAGGTTTTGGTACTATAATTGTAATCAGGAACCCCAAAATAATATAGGCAATTGTTAAGGCCCTTAATAACTACCTATATTATTTGGGGTTCCTGATTAAGGCCCCTATGTTAGACACCAGCACTCGGGAAACCCCAGCCCACAGGGCCCAGAGAGGCGAACCCCCGAAGCAGTGGGTTTAGGGTTTAGGGTTTAGGGTTTAGGGTTTTGGGATGAGGGTTTTGGGTTTAGGGTTTAGGGTTTAGGTTTAGGGCTCAGAGTTTAGGGTTTAGGGTTTAGGGTTTAGGGAGGTCTGTGACATCGATGACGGTTGTCAGTATTGCAAGCGTCGTGGCTTGAAGGCTCTCTCTCTCTCTCTCTCTACATGTGTATATATATATACATACATATATATGGTACCCCCCCCTCAGTTATCTACCTTGTTCGGTGGTTTTTGAGCCCATTAGAGAGGGGGGGTAGGCTACTTCAGGGTTTTA